AAAGACTCTGCTGATTGAGAGGGAATTTTTTCAAAAGCAACACTAGCAGCAAAGGCAGCTTTCATGTTTCATGCAGGCTGGGCAAAAAAAAAAATACAGTAACATTCCTGTCAAGCTACATCTTTTGATTTTTCTCTAGTTCTTTTAAAGGAATCTATGTAGTCTAAAGGAATTGGAAATCTTTATACTTTGATCATTATATTCTGTGATTTTCTATACTAAATGGATATGCTAAAGAATACTTAAATCCCAATTTCACCAAATAAGAGACATAAGTATTAAAAAATAGATACTACTTAATAAGTATGGGATTATGTCCATAATAAACTAGATATAATATCAAAACAAAGACTACAAATAGTTCACATCAACACCCCAAACACTTCTACGTGCAAATGCTCACCTATAATCCAATTTTGAATTCACTATCATCACTAAGTGAGGTATCAACCAGAGCTAGAGACACATTACTTATCTCTGACCCTCACATTCCCAAGGACAGGTTTTGCAGTATATTACAATGGGACCCAGAGTGGATAGCAAGAATCTGGAAATCCATAAAGTTGCATTTCCAATTGTCTATGGTTCCATTGCCCTCTAGTGGTTAGTTTGAAACTAGTTATTAACAGGGAGGCTATTCTTTTAGAAGTCTAAAATAGCAGTAGCAACATCTGTGGATATTCTTAGACATACAAATTTAAAGTACCAACTAAGACCTAATGAAAAGAAACTCTAGGGTTAGGGTCCAGAAACACGTTCCAATGGGTCCTCCACATGATTCCAATGCACACTGAAGAAAGAGGGCCAAAAACCTAAAGAAATGTATAGTGTTATATCTGAAGATGTGAAAGCATAAAGGTGCTTGTGAGTGCTCTTTTAGTTATGATTTATTTATCTATTTTATTTGAAAGAAGATTTTTAGAGAGAGGAGAGTCAAATAGATATCATCCATCTACCAGTTCTTTCCCCCAAGTAGCAGCAATGGCCAGAGGTGAGCTGTGGTCTGAAGCAAGGAACCAGAAGCTTCTTCCTAGTCTCCCACATGGCTGCAAGGGTCCAAGGCCTTGGGCCATCCTCTGCTACTTTCCCAGGCTTTAAACAGAAAGCTGGGTTGGTAGTGAAGCAGCCAAGACACAAACCAGTGCTCCTATGCAGTACCGGCACCTGCAGGCCAAGGATCAGCCAATTACATCACCACTCTGACTCCTTCACGAGTGTCTGTTCATGATAATATCCCTTATATTTATTCTGTTGTCTTTTCTAAATTTCAAAAGGCATACAGGATAATCTAGAAAAAGATTACAATTTAGTTGGGCAGATTGATAAGTGCTATAATTCTGAAATTGAAGAATATAAAAATTAAATAGATAAAAAACAATCAATAAATATCAAAATTCATTTTAACAGCCCACCAAGACCTATGTATTTATTATTTGGCTATAAAATCAAGTCAATGTTTATTGGCTGCATGAATATAATAAGATATTCATTATTCAGACTCTGTAGTAGTTATTATTTTCTACCCATTTTTTCTCAGACTCTGTAGATATTATTTTCCACATTTTTCCTATCACATAAATTGCTATTTATTACTACATATATTGCTAAGTATTCAAACTATTGCTGATACACTCACAGCCTACCTTGAAATAAAGTTGAAAAATAACTGGGTAAGAATTTTTAATTGTATTGTGGGAAAATAAAAACAACTTTTAAATCATGATAAAATTTGTTAATTAGCTCTAGGTTGGTTATGATCACTTAACCACTCATCAGATAGTAAAGTATCATCAGATACTCTCCACAGAAAGTGAACTGGACTTGAGCTCAAAACGTCTGAAAGTTGATCTATGTGAACTTTGGCAAGTTGCTTAAAATCTAGGGTCTCAGTTTTCCCAGATGAGGAATTGTGATAATAACAACATCTACATTTTGTGGTTTTTGTGAGGATCAAATAAGTAGTGATTAGACAGGACTCAGAGTTAAATAAGAGCAGTTTTACACATCTTATTTAAGCAACCATTGCAGAAAGAATGACAAATATTGCAAAGATTGTTAAAAATGGTGTGTATAAAAAAGGTAGACATCAACCCTTCTGCAAAAAAATCTCACAATCACCCACTGATAATACTAGACAAAATATATACAAATTATACAAGATCCTGTAAAGAGGTCAACACATAGAATAGCACTGAATGAGATCCAAACACCAGTCAACCTTAGTAGTTTTAAGTCTAGAGGATGGAATGTGGAGTGGTACTGGGAAAATCTCAGACAGATAACCTAGAGAGCACACTCCATTCGATATATTATCTGCCCAAATCTTAAGATGTTCCTGAACTGGACATTTGAAGGGCAAATGTCAGGCAGTCCACTGAAGTTTAAACAGACTATTTATACTTCAGATAAGTCCAAGAAAATAGGCTTATAAATGCAGAAAAGATGAAAATTTAAGAGACAGACCATTAAAAATGAAAATTGTAGACCATAAAGGATATAGAATCTGAAATATTTTTGAAGTATTGTGATTAAAGATGAAAGAAAAAGTCAACAAACTTAAAAAACAAACTCAATCTGAAGGACAGAGAAAACAAACTTGGAAAAAAGCAATCAGCCTCTTGTATCTGTAGGATAATATCAATAGTTCTAATGCAGATGTAATAGAGTCTGGAAAGAAAATTAAGGGAAAAACAACAGATTAGATGGGAAAAATTATTTGAGTGATCAATAACGCCTTAAAATAAGAAATGCTCACAATAGTCAGTGTTGGGTCCAGGCTGAAGCTGGAAGCTGCAAACTCAATCCAGCTCTCACCTATGGATGACAGGAACTCAATTACCTGAACTATCATCAATGCTTCCCAGTATCCACATTTGTGAAAAACTGTAGAACTGGGAATCCAGCCCAACTAGTATGATATCCAACATTGAGAACCTGATCCCTTTGCTCATTGTTCATTACGTTACTAGAAAATTTATTGCTATTGTTGAGTGGTAAAAGTTCTTTATAAATTCTGGTATAACACCTTATCAAATATAAACAGTGCTCCAAAGAAGTATACAAAAGGCCAATAAGCACATGAAAAGGTGTCCTATTTCACTAAACTAAGGAAACACTAAGCCAATCTACAAAGAGATAGAATCTTACATTCATTTTAGTGGACATTTTATTTTCTTTATAAAAATATAATAGTGTTAATAACAATATAAAGAAAATAAAACTTTCATGCACCCTAGGGAAAACTGTAAAATGGTATCTTCACAGAACAAAGATTCTTCAAAAGATTAAAAATGGGATTATTACATAACCCAGAAATCTCCCTTCTGGGTATAAGAGTAAATCCAAGAGAGTTTAAACAGAATGTCAAAGAGTAAGTTCTCAGGGTTTATTCCTGCCAGCAGGCCCTCAGACAACCAAGGGGTGAGGTAACAGAGTTCTCTGGCAGCAGAACCACCAGAGACAAACTGGTGAAGGATGTCCAGTCATTGTGAAAAATCACAAGTTTATAGTACTGGAAAAAGAGGAAGGCCGAAGGGCAGTCCCGACAACACTCCCACCCAACAACGGCATTGTAAGTGGCCAGTAGGCATGTCTGGAAGCTGTGCCTCAGTCAATGGGCAGGCAGGCCATGACTCATGTGAGTACATAAACTAGCACATAAGCTGGAAGCCATGCCTCCGCTGAGTGTGGCTGGCAAATAGGATGTGGGTCACATTTGACTTCTTACATTTGTTGATCAGGGAAGTCCTAGCACAGCCATCCAAAGACAGAGAGACTGGGGTGCAGCCCACTGCTCTTGCTGCATGCCCAGTGAACAGGCCAGGCTGAAGTCTGTCAGGGTTCCCCCAGGGACACTGTGTGCCTATGACCTCCCACATACGCTAAATAGACAGAGATCTAGGGGCAATCTCCCACAGAGAGTTGCAACTCAGATTCTTTACTGGCTATTCACAATAGCCAAGAAGCAGAAGCAACCAAATGTTCAGCAATGGATGAATGGATAAAGAAAATATGGCCTCTACATACAATGGAATAATTATCCAGCTTTGAAAAGTATAAAATACTATCACCCACTACAGTGTCTATGAATCTTGTGGATAAAAATAAGAAAAATAGCCCAGTAACAAAAAAAGAAAAAAAAAGATAAATACTTCATGATTCCACTTCTCTGGGGTATCTAAAGTCATCCAACTCATGGAAGTAGAAGGTAGACCTGTTGCCGATGGGGATAAAGGAAGGAAAAAATAGAGTAGTTGTTCTACATATAGAGTCCCAATTTCACAAGATGGAAACAGTCTGTTGCACAAACTTGAATGTAATTAATACTAAACTGTACACTTAAAAATTATAAGGATGGTAACTATATATGGCTTAATAATTTTTAAAACAATGATTGTGATAACTATTTTAGCATGAATAGAATATTTATGTATGTATCAGGGATACATAAATGAGCAAATGTAGAAAATGCACAATATTCTCTTTTTACTTAACTGAATTGAGTAGTTGATGCAAAGATGCATAGTAGGTATTCACTAAGAACTGTATTTTTCTCTCTCTCCTTTCCCTTTTCTCTCCTTAACCTGTCCTCAAATCAAAATCCATTCACAGAATCAAGACAACAGTGTAAAGAATGAAGTGCTCTGCTCTTCTGTTCCATTTACAGTTCTCTACAACAGGTACAGAAGTGTTAGTTCGGGAACAATGAAAAAAAGGTGGACAGAAGCTCAATGACAGCCTTTGGGAACCAGATCGCTTCTTCCAGGTCAGACCCAAGATGGCTGCTCTGCCACTCACTCAGTAAGCAAACATCTCAGTACTCAAGACCTTCAAAATCAAACAAGATTTTTATTTTAACAAAATAAATTAACATTACAATTACTGTATCACATTTGATCCCAAAGTAAATAAATAAAAAGAAGATAACACATATATGTACAACATGCATTTTTTTTGCTAATCAGTGAAGCAATTTTTTTTTAATCTTACAAATGAACAGCTTATTCCATCAGGAAATACCTCATTCTACAACCTCTTTGAATTGATTTTCCATCAACTTCATCAAATTTTGTTTCTTCAATTCTGTTTGGGTGAAAAATCCCATAATAAACAATAAGAAAGGTAATTCCAAGGAGCAGAGAAAGAATTATGGTGATACTGATAGTTATAAAATATTCTGAACTAAAAACATGGAGTGGATAAACCCAGAACACAATCAGTATCCCCAAGGTGATCAGTACCCTTACACTATAATAACAGGACATTGGACATTTGGTATTCTGGCCCTTAATATTAAAAAATGTAGCAATAAGAATGAATCCAACAACAATCCTATATAAGAATTCCATACTTAAAGAAGTACAAAACTGAGTTTGCTGCTTAAATGCCCACATTACACCTAAAAGCCAGAGAAACAACAATAAAATTAAAGCAATTTTAAGATTTAAGAATAGAAGAAGTACAACACTAAGCATCCATGATAACAATGTAAATAACTTGTAAAAGAGATATGTGGCTTTGGCACAGTTTCCATTAAGCAGATTTTTATCGGGCAAGGACTTTCTTAAAGCTATTTGATAATCAACAGTTGACCAAGAAACAGCACAGCAAGAGACCATGATGGACAAATCTATAAAACAAAAAAGAAATGATATGTTACATGGGACTAGTAACAGCAATGCTGAGCCATTAGATGCAACATATGCCTTATCTGTGTACACACACTTACACATGTCAGACACTTTAAATTCTTATCCCTTCTAGTCCTTTGAAGTTGGGCTTGAAGAGATTTATTACTTAACCCAAGTCACAGAGCTAGAAAATTACAGATGAGCTTGAAGCTACAACTTTCTGATTCCAAATTTGAAGTACTTAACCACTATATTAGATTGTTTTATAATTATTCTAAATAAACTCACAGCGTTAATTTATTGAACAACTGATAAACTGGAAACTGAATACTCTGGGAGTGAAGAGATAATAACTTTTCTAGCAATTTTGGTTTTTAACCCCTACTCCAATTAGGTTAGTGTAGGAGTAAAAAGAGGAAAGTTTAAAAGAAAACTTGATGTATTAGGCATGAAATGTCAGCAAGCTGAATTTCCCAAACAACAAGATGGTATATCAAAGTAACAAGTGTGTTCTGAAACTAAAAGATTTCTAGATTTGACATTTTTCCCCCAACAAATAACATAGAAACAAGTTCATTACCATTCTGATAATGCCAAGTCATTATCAACCCTACTGCCAAGAGGGTCATATTCAAAAAAAAAAAAAAAAACAGAAGACATTAGAGAAACAGGAAAGTGTCAGAGCAGAATACACTGGTACTCATTCTGCATTAAGCCTTATTGGAGGTCGACATAATAGGAAAGGCAGTCTTACAATTACTTTTCTATCAATGAAAGTAACAAAGACAGGGTCTTACCAATGGATATTAATGGACATCGAAGTGTATCAATAGATACACTTTCTTCATTTTAGTGATAACACTGGTCTCACAATCTGGATTTCTTTCTTTTATTCATTGATATAAAAATACATGAAACAAAACATCTCTTTGCTTCAAATTACGTTTTTCATGTAACTGGTTTTAATTTATACAAATTAATATATAGTTTTTTAAATAAGACAGTTCTATAAAGCCTGTAAGAAAAATAGTATTTTGCTTTACTCTTCCCCATCCCTCAGTTAGAAATCACTATCAACTCTTATAGCTTTTCTTATGACATTTATTGTCATATTTACAGATAAAGCACACATTATTCTTAATTTAGCAGTTTAGCTACTGTTTATCAATTGGCTGTTTGGAAAGAGGAAGATTCCACATATAAACACCTAAGTGCATCCTCTTTCCCCTTTGTCTCTCCTCTCATCACCCTAGGAGTAACATCAGTTCTTGATAACATCAATAGCCAATATTTTCTCATTATAATCACAGCTTCTTTTTAACTGCTAAGCTGCTGGCTATAGTGTTTCCTTTAAAAATTCCCAGTTTTCCTGAGGTTAATTGCCTTGTTTCCTTACTTTCTTAGTTCTTTTTCAGCGACACAATTACTATTAGCAAATTTAAATTAACTAATAAGTCTAGGTATACACGGGTACATCTATGAGCTTTTGTGGCTTTTTCCCTGTTAAAATGCCATCTGGGTGCTATAAAACTACTGCTCTTACGCTTTACTTTCTGCATGTTATCTTTTTAAAAAGATTTATTTCATTTTCTTGGAGAGCCTGATTTACACAGAGAAGGAGAGAGAGAAAGAAAGATCTTCCTTCCTCTGGTTCACTCCCCAAGTGGTTACAACGGCTGGAGCTGAGCCAATCTAAAGCCAGGAGCCAGGAGTTTGTTCCAGGTCTCCCACACAGTTTCAGGGTCCCAAGGCTTTGGGCCGTCCTCGACTGCTTTCCCAGGCCACAGGCAGGGAGCTGGATGGGAAGCATACAGGACACAACCGGCGCACATATGGGATGCTGGTGAATGCAAGGCCAGGATTTTAGCCACTAGGCTACCACATCAGGCCCTATTCTTTTTTCAGGACTTCCCTTCAGCTCTCTTCTGTACTGATTTCTATTTTCTAACTTGTATCTTTCTTTCTTTCTGTATTCTCATGTTTTGATTAAGCCCTCAAGGATGAGCAAAGTTACAAAGAAGTTGCATTTATTTAAATTTTTAGATGTTGGGCCCAGTGCAGTGGCCTAGCAGCTAAAGTCCTTACCTTGAAAACACCAGGATCCCATATGGGCACCTGTTACAATCCCACAAGTCCCGCTTCCCATCCAGCTCCCTGCTTGTGGCCTAGGAAAGCAGCCAAGGACGGCTCAAAGCCTTGGAACCCTGCACCCACATGGGAAACCCTGAGGGGACTCCCTGCTCTTAGCATCGGATCAGCTCAGCTCCGGCCATTGCAGCTGCTTGGAGACTGAACCAGAGGATGGCAGATCTTCTCCATCTCTCTTCTCTGTATATCTGACTTTCCAATAAAAATAAAATAAATCTTTAAAAAATAATAAATAAATACTTACATGATTTTAACTTCTCTTATATTCTACCTCTTTCATTTTCACATAATATTCATTTTTATAGCTTTCTGTATCATTTTCAACTTTGATATTTACTTCTTTAAAGTAACAAGACAACTGTTTTATACTTTGCATTCGGTAATTCCAAAAATTTAAATTTAAAGGTTTTTTTTTATTTTTATTGGCTATTACTTATATTACCTTTCGCATTTGGCACGGTAAACTATGGTTAGCCATTCATCTTCCTTGGAAAACTAGTTGTAAAAATTATTTAAGGACAAAGATAACATGAGTTCTTCCAGGAGAATTACTGTTTCTATAAGACATTTCTCTACCTACCACTAAACTATATACACAGCTTGATTTTTTGTTAGTTTCTTGCCTTCTTTTTGAGATTAATCAGTAAATATGCATTTTGCTTACAAATCTTGGTGTAACTTTTCAAAGATATTTTTTCCTATCCTACTCCACCTTAATGCAACATGTCTTGCAGTCTCTTTGAAATCAAGACTGAGGCAGGTAACTGCCCTCACATGGGAGGCTCAGAAGAAGCTCCTGGGCTCCTGGTCTCAGCCTGGCCCAGCCCCAGCCATTACAGTCATTTGGGGAGTGAACCAACCGATGAAAGACGGTTTTCTCTTTGTCTCTTCCTCTCTCGGCAACTCAGCCTTTCAAATAAATAAATTTTAAAAAATACCAGAAAGGGTCCAGCACAAAGGCTCAACTAGTAATCCTCTATTTGTAAGCACTAGCATCCCACATGAGCAGAGGTTCGTGTCCCAGCTGCTCCGCTTCCCATCCAGCTTCCTGCTTAAGGCCTGGAAAAGCAGCTGAGGACGGTCCAAAGCCTTGGGATCCTTACACCCACAGGGGGATCCCAGAGGAGGCTCCTTACTCCTGGCCTCAGAACAGCTCAGCTCTGGTCAGTGCTGCCATTTGGGGAGAGAATTAGCAGAGAGATGTTTCTCTCTGTATTTCCTTCTCTCTGTAAATCTCCTTTGCAATGAAAATAAATGTTTTTTGACATAATATGAATGAAAATAAACTTTTTTGACAGAAAACAAAAGATTCCGTTTTAGGGGCAGGCATGTTACACAGTCGGTAAGATACTGCTTGGGAAGCCTGCATCCTATGCCAGAATGCTTGAGTCAATCCTGATTGTACTTCTATTTCAACTTTTTTCCAATGTGTCAGCAGTAACAGTTCAAATATCTAGTGACCTAGACGGAGTTTGGGTTTTTGGCTATTGCGATATTTGGGAAACAAACCAGCAAATGGAAGACTTTTTTCCCTCTCTCTCCCATTCTCTTTCCCTATGTGTTTCTACCTTTAAAATAAACAAAACTAAATAAATTAAGAATTTAAAAAGAAATTCTTACACTGACTGAAGTTTGCTTGACCATGTTCTAGAAAGATGTAGAGCTGAAGAACAAGTTGAGGGCAGCCTTCCAGGTAGGTCTCAAACAGCCTAAGCATGCTCAAATCCGTCACTCTGTCTATAACTTCTTTAAGTGGATCAATTTGCTCTTCCATGACATTATTAGCTTTGTTGCTATATTTGAAAGCTATGTGGTAACCATTCTTCAAAGCAAACCAATACCTATAAACATGAAAATAAATCTTCAGTCACATGTTCTTTAGAATATCTATGTGGATATAAATAATTTTGAAGAAAGGAACAAGTGTAAGTATGGAACTGTCCACAAATTGGTCTCCAGCACAGATTTTTGGGGGGAACATCTCAACTTTTAAAATTTATATTTCATAAATTTTTTTGTGTGCTTAATGTGCTGGTTAAATGCTATGCTTATTAAGGATACACAATCACATTTCATTTTTTGTAATAGTTATATAAGTAATATTGGTTACATTTTAGAGATAGAAAAACAAGGCTGAAAGGGGGAGAGCAATTCAGGTAAGCTACACAGAGAGTACAGGGCAGTCCAAAGATCCGAACCAGAACTGACATTTCTTAATCACACTGCTTTCTGGATGACAAACCACAATATTCAACTCATGCAGTTTGTTTTAACTTTAATACATTTACATATTCTCTTATGGGAAATCTTCTTTCAATTTAATATAGCAAACAAAAAGTACCTGGTCCTATAAGGTGCCAGTTTCCTTGACTATCACCGTTTCAGAAAGTACATTTGCACCTCTGTGTATGTGTCTCTCTCTGTGTCTCTGTCTCTGTCTCTCTGCCTCTGTCTCTCTGGAGAGTTATCAACCTGGCTGGGAAGGGCCTGGGCCTAAGATGCCACCTGCAAGCCAGGGTTGGTCGCTCAGCCCTTCTAGCTGCCTGGTCCAGGTGGGATAGGGCCCAGGACTGAGCACAAGCAGGGGTCAAATAAAGAGTGCCATGTGGGGGACACAGCTATCAGCAGTAACTGAAAATTCTCCGGCTCATGAGATGGACACATTAGAAGAGACTGCAGATAGGCAAGGCCTATGCTCATAATCATCAGGAAACAGTTACAGATGATGTGATGAATCTACCCTTAAGCTTAATGGTTGGAATTTTCTGAGTGTGAAATGAATTGCCATAGGTAGCAAGCTAACTTTGGGTCAGGAGTTAGAGGTCACATCTCCCCATCACCCCACCCCCCGCATAAAATCTTATTTCTTGGCCCAGCACAGTAGCCTGGCAGCTAAAGTCCTCGCCTTGCATGCGCCAGGATCCCATGTAGGTGCCAGTTCATATCCCAGCTGCTCCACTTCCCATCCAGCTCCTTGCTTGAGGCCTGGGAAAGCAGTCAAGAATGACCCAAAACCTTAGGACCCTGCACCCGCATGGGAGACCCAGAAGAATCTTCTGGCTCCTGGCTTCAGATCAGCTCAGCTCTGGCCACTGCGGCACATGGGGAGTAAACCAGCAGACGGAAGAATGTTCTGTCTCTCCTTCTACTTTTCAAAAAAAAGTCCTATCTGCCTACCTGTCAGTCCAAATGAACCTTCTCCAGGAAGTACTCCTGCTCATCTGGGCCCTGGGGATGGTTCCAGGGCCCCATTCCTTCCAAGGCTCAAAACAAGCCTGGCAACAGGAAGGGGGCTCTCTCTCTTCCCACCCACACAGCAATGGAGGTATCTAAATTCTGTAGAACATAGAATCAAACCAGAATAAGCTGGTATAGATCTGTAACCCACCCTACCAGTCAGCATCAAAGACTAGCCCAACATGCTGTAACAGCTCAGCTCTGCAAGAGTTACACTAGCTCCTCCCCCATTGATGGCCTGAGAAAAGCTGAAGATAGCTCCAGTACATGGGCCCTGCTACTCATGAGGAACACCCAGTTGAAGCTCCTGGCTTCTGAGTTTGGCCTTGGCCATCCCTGACTGTAGCATCCATCTACTAAATGAACTAGCAGATAGAAGATCTCTTTCCTGCTTTTTCTTTAACTCTGTTTTTCAAATAATTACAATCAAGAATAAGTGTTAGCACTTAAAGTAGTACATTTAAATAATACAGAAAATTCACTTATTAGGAATTCTTCATGTTCCTGTGATTAGATTAATGAAGAATTAATTTACCTTCTTGGAAAATATAATACATCATGTTCATAAGTGCATAGCTGTTAACTTTTATCTTACAGTTATTCAAAACTTTTATTATTAAGAATGATCTAATACAACTAAATAAACAGTAGCCAAATATTTCAGTATATTAATTTTGCATTCCATAAATGGAACTAAATGCTTTAAAATGTTTTGATCCTTAACAGAATTAAATGCTGTTACTTATCAATATCCCAAACACTAAAATACACTTACTATTTTGATATAACCTTTTTAATATTAAAATGTATTTGCTATTAACATAGCAAAAATATAGTATGAAATCCCAAACACAACATCCCCAGATAAATTTGCTTTTAAAAGAGTTTGGAAGGCTGATTTACAGAGAGAAGGAGAGACAGAGAGAAAGATCTTCCTTTCGCTGATTCACTTCCCACGTGCCACAACAGCTAGAGCTGAGCCAATCTGAAGCCAGGAGCCAGGAGCTTCTTCAGGGTCTCCCACACAAATGCAGGGTCCCAAGGCTTTGGGCCATTCTTGACTGCTTTCCCAGGCCACAACCAGGGAGCTGGATGAGAAGTAGAGCAGCTAGGACACAAACTGGATTCTGGTACTTGCAAGCTCAAAACTTAGTCACTGGGCCCAAAAGCATTTTAAAATGAACTTCACTGGCAGATGTTTGGTGTAACCATTAGCACACTGCTTGAAACAACTGTAATCTATATTAGAATGCCAGAATTGAAGTCCTGGCTCATTTCTGAGTCCAGCTTCCTACTAATACACATCCTTTAAAAAAAAAAAAACTATGAGCCAAGTAGTTGAGTCTGTCACTAATATGGAATTCCCGGACTGAATTCCTGTCTCCTGGCTTCAGCCTGTCCAGTCCCAGCTCTAGGTATCATATGTCTGTCTGTGTATATGTGCTTCAAATAAAAATAAATACATTTAAAATCATTGTGCACTTATCTGCTTACAAGTAATATTAATAATAAAAGTATCAGGACACTTAGAAGAAATTCAAGGATAGAAGTAAAAAATCCAGGATTCAACTCCAGCAATTACTGTTATAATTACAGCAAGATTTATCGCCCCCAAAAAACCCATGCAGCTATTTAAACTCTAATGTCTTAATGTTAATAACTGATCAAGAATAGAGACTTGATCTAATGATGGCATGTGAGTGGTGGTGTTGGAAGGTATATATCCATTGGGATATGCCCTCAGTGGCTAGTTCTCCCAACAACTTTATTTCAGTTCAAGTTCAGTCTAAGTTTTCTCTCTCCTTCCTCGCCTACCACGAATCCTGACTCTACACCCACTAAGAGCAACCTCCATCAGACTCTGGAATATGGGGTTGCCTTATCCTGTTATCTCAACTGTGAGGAGGAACAAATCTTTGCTTTCCCAAAAAACCTCCTTTCAGGAAGGTACTGTAGTTGAAGTGGCAAAAAGCAGACCAAATGCTCATCAAAGCGATCTGCAGCTCAGCTTCCTCACATATTTTTCTTCTTAAGAAAAAGGCACAGAAATATATTTTGTTCCAAACTGCTCCTTCTGCCACTGTTTCCCTCTCCTGTAAATGGTGTTAACATTGGCCATGTTGTTTAAATCAGAAACAATGCAAATCATTTCTAATCTCTGTCTTTTTCTCACACCCTACAAATATTTCTCAGCAGGACTAGAAGCACAAGATGGCCAATCACAGTAGGAAGGCATAATTATGAGTAGAAGGTAAAAGTAAAAGGTGGCAGGAGGGGGAAAAAACGGTGCTGAGCTGAGCTGCAGAAGGAAGAAGCACCTGAGCTACTCTCGGGTGGCCTACGGAAAGAAGATAGAACTGGTTGGATGGCAAAAAAGTTGCACAAAAGCCCCAACACTCACAGTCAAAGAACAAAGTGAGTAAAGGGGAGTTACAGACCAGAAAATAAACCCAGCCCAGAGACAGCAGGCTTGTAAACAGAGCCAACACAAAGGGAAACTGATCAGTTGGGCTCCCTCTGAAATCCCCCCAAAAAAGAGTGCTTGGCTAGAAGCCACAGGAACAAAGTTCTGGCTCCGACACCTATGAAGGGAGGCAAAGCTAAGTAAAATTCTAAAGGCTGCCAAGCGCTTCCAATCATTGCATCCACACCCTTGGGGAGCAAGCAAGCCAGAAGACGGACCCCAGAAAGGAAAGTGGTGAGCAGGGTTAATGCTAGACACAGCAGGTCCACACCCAAAACCCTCTGAAAGACACCAGGATGACCCAAAAGAGTACATGGAGACCAAAGGGAGCAGAAAATGGATCTGGAGCAGCCCAGCCAGCTTTAGCAACGAAACGGGCAGAAACAAAACACAAACACACAAGTGGACATTGAATCCTCCAATGTCTGCGAGTGCATGTAAAGTGGGAGAGGAAGTGAAGGTATTCTGGGAAAGCTTTAAGAAGAACCCTCCAGTCACAGTGGGAAGGAACCCATGCGGGAGCACAGGTTCGTAAGCACACAGTGGACATACACAGACAGCAAGCAGCCCCAAGCACAGCCAGCAGAAAGGAGAAAAGCTGCCACTGACAGGCCTGCAGCTCTGTGGCTCCACAACTGCTCTGGCACCTGCATGAATAGTCACCCCAATATCTACAACCTAAGTGGCCCAGCAGCCCGACACTGTGCCCAGTAGCACAGTAGAAGTCAGAGACATACAGCAGTCCCCCTGCCACTGGGTAGTCATAAATGAAAGGATGTCTGCTTTGAAGTCCAAAGGACTCCCCACCAATCCCACAAAAAAGGGGGGATTCTCCCCTGCTACTGTTTTTGAGAAGCCTCTCTACTCATCTGCAGAATCAGTCACCAACTAGGGCAGAGAAAGAAAAGATCAAAGAGCAATGCAGCTTAAAGCCACAGCAATAGCCTCCCCAGCCCTGGGCACTGCTGGGACCATGAGTGAGAGAGGCTAAGCAGATAAAAGTACCACCAAAACCCAGGAGCGGCCAGGGCAAAACAAGGTGGATGGGGCTGTGCTGGCTGCAGAGGCTGAGGCAGGACCACAGTACGGGAGCCTCAGGCTGAGGCTCTCCAGAGGCACCAGCGCAAGCATGCAGCCCTC